CCAGAAGCGTCATAGGTCTAATCGTATTGCAACCCTTTCAGCGGTTTATGAACTTAGCTGAATAACCATTATTCATTAACGTATCACTTAGAAGCTTCGTTTCTACTTGAATAGTATCTCTAGTACAAATACGATTGATTCTATTGAATAAGCCCTTTATTAAACCCCGTTTGTAATGAATTGGGCAGTGACTATGGAAATTAAGACTCAAATAGTCTCATGTTGAAGCCTTGGCTATACGGAAATTGAAACCCCCTTTATGTGTTCAAAAACAATTTGTTCTTACCATTAACCTATCCTGGTAATGCCGATTTATTATACAGAGTAGTCATTACATTCTTTTTGTGTACTTTATTTATTTTCTTACCTTAACCTGTCTAGTTGACCTTTTAATTTTCATATAAAAGTGTCTTAACAAGTATATGTGTGATCAGATTGTTCGTAATGTATTGCGCTAATATATCACATAATTCTGATAAACATCGTCTTCTCATTGCATTATCGAAATTTATCAAAGGGACTAATTGTTTCAACTGAGTTCGCTGATTTTATATCTGATTAAAGGAATCCACACCCAATCAAATTTATATGTAGATTTGATTGAGTAGTTCCGTACAGCATAAATCTTCACTTTATAATTCGCTACCAGTTCCACCATCAAAAAACAATTGTTTCTATCTATATAAGAACTCTCGTCTAAATTAGAGTGAATAGTTTCACAGTATTTGAGCGCCGAGTTGATGTAAGACATTAAATATATTATTCCTATTTAATTGTTTCTATCTTTCAGATAAATCATTTATTTTTCTTTCAATGTATTCATAAATAAATCATTAGTAACGAAAGGAAATAACAATAAGTATATTGCTCACAAAAAAATGAATCCAATAATTAATGATGTCGTTATTATCAATAGCTTGGAAACTTTCTGGCAAATCGAGTCACATGATATCATAAATTGGTTGAAATTGTACGATGGGACACTGACTTACTGGTTCTAATGATTCAGTGTTCTTCTCGAGATCTGAATAATCTGATTTCGATTCTCGAAGGGATCGTGCAACCCCAGTGCTTGATAGTAATGTCTCTTATACTGGGACGAAACAGCTATCCATCGCTCTCTAGTTCTCAATCATACCCCAACTAGGATCATTACAACTGAAATAACCTGCAGATTTAAGTAATCTTCGGCAAACCCCTTTAAATAAACTAAATTTTGTTAATCATTTCAATAAACATAGATTATTAGGCAGTAGTAGTAGTAGTAATAATATTCTATTGTAAATGGAGCCAATATAAATTATTAAATTTGTTTACACTTTTTACCGATTGTTATTATTATTATTATTATTGTAATTCTTACAATTGAACAGTGAAAGACACTTTCATCTTGTTGCCTTCAACATGAAATTATAAATACATCTCGACTGTTGCCACTACTGCTGAAATAAATACGTATTCATAATCATTTGTAATTATATTTATTTCCATTTTGATCATGTTAGTGTTATTATTATTATTATTATTGTTACAAATGAATAAAACAATTTAGATGAGTGTAAACAGGAATTAATATTTTTTGAAATCATTCACTGAATCATTTTAAATATGAATAAACATGTGTTTGAATATTAGACTCTAATCGTTGGGATCATACACAGTTGTTTCAATACTCTAATGTTAAATAATCATGTACCGAAAGGTATTGCAAAATATATAATACTGAGATAAGATGGTGGTTCAAGATAGTCAACATGAAACCCTGGAGCTTGGTTTCGTGCTACTTGGCACTCGTCAGCAAGGTGTACCTGTAATCTTGAGGGAACTGATACTCCCTCAGGGATTCGATCCCGTGCCATCCAGCTTCACAGTGAGAGACGTTACCACAGAGCTATCCGGGTCATGACTGACCTCCTGTCGAGTCACCTAGACTGGTGGCCACATTGCTTCGTTATCGATAGGATTCAATCTGCACTAAGAAGGACCTGACATACATGACATTGATCACCACCCAGTGATCAATCAATTGTAAATATATAATACTTTATGTAAAAACTCACTCACTCTTCAAATGATTAATGCAATACAAATGGCACAGTAAGTGATAAGTTGTCAACACATGAAATTACTAAACTTTATTATTAAGTGTAGGTCATTTTTTTAAAAATCGAGACAATAATCAATCATTAGATCAGTTAACACAAACGCTACAATAGAAAAATGGCTCATGAGGATAAAGAGACCGAATGAATGTGATTATAGAAGTTGGAAATAAAAACAACAAACTAAGTTTGCCTGTCAGTTACATTGTATACGCATAGGAAATCAAGGTAAATAGTATGTGGTCGCAACTGGAAATCTTCATTTTATGCATCTTAGGTAATGTTCATGTGGTGTTGTCTGCACTTGGGATAATTTTGTATTATTGTTTGAGTTTCGAGTTGTCAGACTGATTGCACAAATTTTGCATTGAGAGGGTTAATTTAAAGAATTTAAAAAACTAGTTATAAACAGTTTCCTAATGTTGTGTATCTTATGAATATAACTACTACTTACTTGGTATACAGAATGCTTTCCAACTAATTTTTCAAGGAAATCGTGAACCCATCAATGTTAGACCACCAATAAAAACGTGGAAGCACTGGATGGCTATTTCGTCCTAGTATTGGACTTCTCAGCAATGCGCACCCACCACCCCTCACTTGGGACACGAGCCCAGAACCTCCGGTCTCGCGCGCGAACGTTAAACATCTAGACCATTTAGCTGCCATCTAACGGTGTTAATGTGTAACTTCAATCAATTCAATGGTATTTTGAGATCATCAGTGGTTATCTAACATTGACCGGTTCACGATTTCAATAAAATTCATGTCTCCACAACCTCATACAGAAAATAACTAGATTTTATATCTGTACATATTATAAAATGGATGGTCTATGTTCCGCCTTAAATATGATCATTTCTCTGAACTTCCCGTAAATGTATATTCTGTTTATTTCCATAAATTATTGGCATTATATTTAAACTATTCATTTCTTAATGGCCTTAATAGTTTACTGTACGACTGAGTGCCCATAGTTTTCACAATTAACACGAACTTAAACTTAAGTGTTTAATCGTTTCATTCGTTATTGGATCAACTGAGTGTAAAAGCCTATCTTTATTATTATGTTATTTTCCATGTTTTTACTCGTTCTATCTTGCTGTTACTGATCGATTTAGATTCTGTGGTGTTCTTGTTGAACTTTCGAAGAATTTCTAAACAAAAAATTGCTGGGGATGCTAGATCTCCAGAAATTTCTTGTTAAACTTATCGTTTCTATAATTTTATTTTAGAAATCTGAATTTCTCATTTCCGCGCCAAAAGCGCCCATTTTTACAATCAGCTCATGTTTTCCACCTGGAACGACCCTAAATTTCATTGGTCTGTTTTCTCTTTCACCACGCTATTTTGTAACGTTTTCCAACGACATTGTTGTGTTGTATATATACACATGAGTTGTGTGCTTGTTTTGGTTATGGAGATTTATGAAGATTTGATCGTAGTGTTAGACATCTCAAGCATAAGCACCTAAAGCTCCTCTCAAGGGTCTAACTCACAACATTCAGCTTTTACTGAGGACCCTCAAACATTATATCACTAAATCGACATCCAGTGATACAGATCTCCAACTCCAATCAATTTATAATATAATGCGACAATCGTCCAATATCATTGTTGATTACTGTTTCACTCGTAATATATCTGAACTTCATCGGTCACAACTTCTTACTTAAAGTTCAACATCTCGTCTCATAGTAAGCACAGTAATATATTATCGATATATAGATTCTATAACATTTATCTGATTAGTGTTATGCTGTGTCGGTGCTCTCTGATTTTTAGTGTTCCAGCTGACGTCAATCTCTGGCAAATTGCGTACTACAAATTTAACCATAAATGTTAAACTAGATGTGTTTGTTATGTGACATCTTTTATGGTTCACTTCTCTATATAAATGAAAAGAGGCAACAACAGTTGTCATAACAAGGATGATAACAGTAATATAATCTCAGTAGCACAAACACCAACTGACTTGTGTCCTAATTTTATTCTTTTTCTCTAGTTATGTTTATCTCCCCGATAATTAACCTGATCGATAGTTAAACTATTTTGTACTTTACGCATTAAAAATAAAGGCGTACTCCCTGCTGATACACAATAAATGGTCATATCAGTGCTGACTTTTCATATTAATTGGTTTATGCTATTTGCAGAACTTTGTTTTTTTTAAGGACTTTTTTAAAGAAAGCAAAATATTTAAAACTAACTAGTCAGTCAATCATTTATTTGTTTATGTATGTTTTTCCTAGTCTCCTGTGTTAAAATTTATTCTCTAAGAGTTAGGCATTAAGTGTTTAGCGATTAGACTGCTCAAATTTTAACATTTATCGCTAATTTAAACCCCACTATACTCTTCTCGGTCTCTACAACCGAATAGTAGTATCAGTAGCCATCACACAAACAGTGTACCTTAAAGCCCTCCATGGTTTTTTTAAATTATCCAGCGTTTCCTTATGGGCTGATAATTTGCCCTAGGCCAATATTTATTCTCTTTTCTACTCTACAAATCTATCCATCGTCATTATGAAATAATTTCCAGAAGAAATTCTCCTTGAAATCAATCGATGCATCACGATTGTTATCATTCTTATTATATGATTGTTTCTGAGTGTAAATTGGTTGCTATCTTCTTTTCTTTTAAGCATCTTAACCTCCAATTAATCTATTTTCAGTATTGTAGTAGTGAAATAACATTTCACTACACCTTTACCTTGTTTACCAAAAAATCTACGTTACATCACATACGTACCTAATGCATGGACTGACAAAATGTTAACAAAGTATTTGAGATTTCTCCTTCGTCATTACTCAATCAACATTCCAGAAGAACACAACGTTTGATTTTTCCGAAGAGAATTTGTAATTATTTTCTGTCGATTTTTTTCATTATTGAAGGCCCATTGTATTCGTGGTGGTTGTCGTGAAGCAGATGGTTGGTGTCGTGTATTATGGGGTAAAACTGCCAGACTTGCTGATAAACATTGCTTTTATGAAAATGAAGTAAAGAGTAGAAAGTCTAATGTCGATTCTGTAGCAAATTGTGGCGTACACCGACCATTATCTAAAAATCGATGGGAAGATGTAAAAACATGGACAGGAATAGCTTGTGAAACATGGTAATTTTTGTAGTTCATATTCCTTTTTTTCTTGTAATTCATTATTCTTGAATTGGTTTTACTGTTATTTCAGGAGTAGATTGGTCTTAATTAATAAATGTCAGTTAGAGATTTAGGACGAACTCATAGGTCGTTTATTCCTACGTATATAAATATCATTTATTAAGTTCCAGTTGATCAGTTTTCGTCGCTTAGCTATAATCACTACTTATAAAGATGTTTCGATATCTTCTTTAATTGTAACTTTATACATAGCCAAAGCGGGGAGCAGTGTGGTGTCTTCTAGGATTACCATACTATGTAATGACTTATATCCTCCCACAAATTATTACTTTACAAAACCATCAATCAGAGTATCGATTTTTATGAATTTGTCCTGGAACTAACCAAAAACAACTTCATTTATTGCGTGATGTAGTCAGATCTTCATCTTTTGAATCACAAAGTGACTCAAAGTGAAAATGTGTAAGCCAACAAACGTCTAATTGATTTAAATGAAATATTATGTGACATATTTTTAAACTGTTTTCAGTGGGACCAATGGATTCGTTCTTTAGCATTCCCTGAAGTATTCAGTTTCAACAAATTTTATTTCTATTTCATTTCTTTTTCTCAAACAATATTCTTTATTTTTGTTACACACTACAGTTGTAACTAGTAGTATAATGAAAGATGAATATTTTTAACCCTATTCGTAAAGTCATCAGTTGGATGTCTGTGTTTTGCATTGGAATTCGATCTCTCTACCTATCACTTCACATCTATGTTTTGGATTTCACTTCTAACTGAAATATAAAAATATACCAAAAGTTTGTATTTGTACGTGATATCATGGCATCCTCACTCGATTTACATATTCCAACAAACATTTATAAAATAAGAGTCCTAAATCTCAACAAATGGATAATACAACTTTTCACAAACTTATCCTCTATGCTTTATCTTTTTTTACAATCATTGATACCACAATTATTTCGAATACTGTTCTCATTTTCTGACGAACTATATTTGCTCTATCTTTTCGTACTGATTACAGTGATTCACATATAAGAAGCAGATAAGGTATTAAGAAGTAGTTTTACTAATTTTGACTTGATATGTTTAGACTATGTGCTTTGACAGTATAACAGAACTTGTTTTAAAAGCCAACGTATAAAGAAAATGAACCTAACAAAGTTTCGGACAGTAATCTCGTCGATGGATGATAGCCAGCAGAAAAATCCAGGACGCACATTTCATTCTGTTTGGTACTCTTCGGCTGGATGAGCCTGTACCCCAGAGCTGATATTCGTTCCGGGACTTGAATCCAGTACCTTTCGCTTCAAACGCCATCGCGTTAAAATGCTTGTGACTTACTGACAACCTCGAGGCGATCCGCACTGGATCTACATATACCGAAAGAGGCTGATCAATTGCAACGGTAAACATCAATGTGAAGATTCATACAACCAATATATCATGAATTAAAATGCAATCTGATCGATTAATAAATACATTCCTTGAATTGCTTATATGATGTAAAATGTGTTGTATTCCCTTTTCTTCATCTAACAGGGTGTATCATTCAATCGAACTTCCATTGATGAGGGCTATTTATGTTTGTTAAGGATGTTCATTTTCTTTCCTAACATGGATTAAGATTTGATTGGGTATGAAATAGATGTTAGAATATTCTGTAAAGGTATGAGAGTATGTGGACGAGCTTAACATGCTCCTAAAATGACGGCGTGATTCCGAAGTCACTTTTCAACCAATAGCCAGAGTGTTTGCATCGATCAAACTATAACACCACAGAAGGAATTAATTCTATTAGAGTTTAATGGTCAGGTATTTATCAATAGAATCAAGGGTTGAGGGTTAGAACTCTCATCGTAAATCGGCATCAGTCATTATGAAAAGGTGCTCTGTAGCCATATGGATTAGTGAATTTCAACCAGGAATTTTAGAGGCCTTATTTGATTTGTTCTTTTATTAAATGTAATGCCAATAGGTTAAGGTTTGTTTGAAGATTATGGGTTCAGTGTCAAAATTTAGGCTTAGTGCTGACTGCTCTGTTCTGTACAATCTCAAGAGACAGAATCAATTAATTTTGCTCTTTAGTTGCAAAAAATCATTTTTCGTTGTAAACATTCTAAACAGTATACAAAAGTATTTCTGTCTTGTTATCTATAATTTTGAATTTCACACAAAAACCTAGAAATCATGTTCTCAATTGTGATTAATTTGCCTGTGAAGTGTACTCGGACCGTTAAAAATCATCTATCTTTGAATTTCGTGTTTAAACTAGAGAGTAAGCTTTTGGACTCTAATTGGCCCACCCCTTTGACGGAAATATTCTTTACAGAAAGAAGCGTTATTCACCTCTGTGTTAGTCAAATAAAAAAGTGGTAGTGAATTTTTTTTTATTCATCAACTGTTTGTATCCCGAACCAACAATACCAATTTGTCTATATCCACGTTTTTTCCTTAGTTTTGCAATAATATACGTGTAAATCATTGAGACTATATTGTTGTGAGAATACTATTAGTAGAAAGGCCACCAAATGAAACTTTCAATGTGTATCTTGACATTCTGTGTACTGCTACTAGTTCAAGTTTTGTATTCGAAGAAATTCAAGGCGTGAAATCCTGGAGAACTTCATGATTTAATTACGCCCTTTTTTGTTTAGGCTGATATATATGTTAAATCACTGTTGGCATTACCGTACAGTATCAATAAGTGATATCGTCGCAAAAATTCTTCGCTAAATAGTATTCACTTCATATTTAATGATTATTTTAGTTTATTTCATTTCTTTACCAAGCAAGAGAATTCTTCAGAAGAAATAGTTTTTCTTTTCATTCAGGCATGATACATCCTGTGGACGATTATGGTGTCATCATCAAAATGAAAAAGCTATGCTTCTTGGTTGGATTCAGTCACAAACACGTGTTATTCACTCATCTGGTCGATCATGTTCTGCACTAGTTTATGATCCAGTTTGGCCAGCTTCAGATCCCGCCACTTGGGACGTGAATAACTTAGTTCAAATTAATGCGAATGGTGCAGGTGTTGGACTTTATTCAGCAAATACCCAAGATGCTGGCATGGTTCCTGATGGGACACCTTGTTCTCGAGGCGTAAGTTTAATAACGTTATAATAATAATGTCTTTAAAAATACAATTGTTACAAATAATTGTAATTATCCATGGATTTCTGAATTTAATTGTTTGAATTTTATTGATTCAAAAGTTAACCTTTCTTGTGTAACATTACTGACCTTCGAGTTCGGGTGCCTACACGAAAATTGACTTTATCTTGAATGAATGGAATAAACAAACTCCTTAAATTGCCTAACTAAACAATTATTTCAGATCCAAGCTTCAGTGATATATATATGCTTGAATATCTGGGCTACCTGTTTCTGCTATCTAAATATTTCAACAATTCTGTTTTTTTATTTTGTTTTAACACCTCATTACGTCTATTAATCGCATAACCTTTACAGGCGCCTTTATAAAAAGCTTACGTCCTTTCTCTGCAAAAATTACAAGAAAAGCACAATAAGAGACATCGTGGTGGTTAGCAATATGCATTAAAGAGAATGAACAATAATCAAATGTCGATTCCCGAGCTGCTAAATCCTAACGGCCGATCACTAATTAACAGGGTGGACTATCTCCGATTCTTACTAAGTCAAAACATGTATCGTAATTGTAGTGTCATCACAACTCAAGAATCTTGATAACTGATTTACAGGCCGATTGCTTAGTATCACTACTTCATTTCAATATCTGTCGTCAAGATAGATCAATCAATAACAAGAGATGTGGCGGTAGTGTAGCTACGACTTTAAACGTTAACTGGTGTCCATCTATTTTTGTTTGTTTTAAGTTTTCAAATGACTTTATGGACTGTCTAACTTTGATATGCCGTCCAAAACACCTGAATGAATACAAACATTTTTATGTTACCAACATCTACATGACTCCAGATTGTATATCATCTGCGCTATCTGTTTTCGCTGATGGCTTCACTGAATTCGCTGTTACTGCCTTCAGTGGTTCACTTTTGATTGTATGTGGTGATTTCAATTCGTGTGACTATGGCTTCCTTACATCACTAGGTCACCAAAATGTAGTAGATTTTCCTACGCGTTTGGATGCTCATTTAAACTTCGTTTTTCATTAATAATGTGGGTACATATGTGACTCGTAAACGTGCTCCATTGTCTAGCTCGGATCACTGTATAATTCGAGACTGTGTGACATGGCTCAGAATCGATCACAATGGCGTAGGTGTATACACTCGTTGTCTTCCCTTAAACCATGAGATTTAAATTGCTTCATATCTTTCTTCCTGTAATATATCCTTATATACAATCTTTCTTTTATATATAACCACAATTAAATTAACTACTTCTATGAATTCGGTGTTCATTTTGATGTTTTAATGAATGATGTGTGGCAACTGAGACCGATGCATATATGTGCCTGGTTCTACAGTGAATCTGACTAACTGACTATTACTAAGACATTATTTACCCTTCTTTCCTACTTATTTTGTTAATTTCATCGCGTTGTGCTATTATAGTATTGAAACTTAAGTCAACCCACATATGTGCCAGTTTCTACGTTGATTGCAACTGGCTTAAAAATTTGAATCTAAACAAACTGAGATGTCTGTTTTTTTAAATCACTTAGTTAAGTACCTTTAGATGTACCACTTTAATTGAAACACATTTCATTCTAAGACTTTGTTATGGCCTTATTTATGTTATATAATTTCAGCTCAAGATTCATTACAACTATATGACCATATTCTAACAGATGCTTCGACAAGACCATAATTTATAGACTAATCAATGAAATTAAATATGGAAAGTTTTGGATTTTGGTGCTAAGTTCATTTATCAATATGGTTAAATGATATTTTGACGTTATAACTGATATCAGTTCGTGATGAAAACCCTCATTCTATTTTACAACCTAACTTCTAATTATAAATCATATTTCTGATTCCTTACACTAATCGATAATCCTCTTCTGATCCTATTAAGTTAGTTTTCTTCCCAAATTATTTTCTTATTCACACTTTGATTGATGATAAAGTTAAAAACTTATTAAGTTCAACATTCGAATAATAATATAAATCATATCTTATTGCTTATTTTCTCAGTAATATTGACCAAATATCTCATTCTTTTTTAGTTTTGTTATAATGGTTCTTGTAAATCAGTCGATATTGTTCGTCCTCTGTATTCGTGCTATTGCAATGGTCATGGCGTAAGTTTATTGTTAGTTGAATATTACTCCTTTTTAAAAAAAAATCATAATGAAATATGGATCATTGCTTGTAGATAAATTAATTCAATATTGAGATTTATTATTATTAGTAATACTAATATTTTTATAGTTGAAATCATGAGTCCGTTGAAGCTAGACGACCATAGAAAACCTGGAAGAACTGGACGGCCGTTTCGTCCTATTGTGGGACTCCTCAGCGGTGCGCATCCACGATCTCGCCTCGCGAGTTCCGAACCTAGAACCTACCAGTCTCGCGCTAGAGCACTTAAACGATAGATATTATTGTGATTATTTTAAAATTTTCTTTATTCATACAAAAATATTCGCTTTCTTGTAGACAAAGAAACGAAATCCGAAATTATTATTTCACATAGGACTAAGTAAAAAACGCTATGTAATCACTTTTTTATCGTGTTGTTGATTTTCTCGTGATATGTACATCTGCCAAAAGACACTAGGGTTAAATGGGATGCAGGCACATACAATCAGCTTATGAGCCTCAAATAGGACGAAACACTCGTTCTTGATTTCACAGCTAACCACAATTTTTCAATTACATAAAGCCCATGATATCCACGTTTCAAAATATTCAAGTAGGAAAAGCCGAATGAACAGTAAGTTTTCATTATCTAACAACGATTGCGGCCTGTTCCACTCGTAGAGCATAGGCCGCCAATTAGGATTGTCTTGCCAATTCTGTCTTAGGCTCTCCTCACCAGTTGTCTCAAATCTTTATTCATTCTTTTAATTTCTGCCTCCATGGTCTCAAAGTACACGAACAACGCTTCGTAGACACCTATGATTGAATACCAGTAACCTACGATTATCCTCCATTCTAAATGGCACAGCGAACCACCTCCTTTGGTTGGGAGACGTATTTTTCGCCTACGCCGCAAGTTGATAAAAGTCAATAGTCTTCTGTATTGGTCCCGAGATTTCATCAGACAACAGACCGTCAGTACTGACGAGACTCCCAAGATAAGTAAAGTGGTCGATGTGTTCAATTAATTCATTCTCTATCATTAATTCAGGCGATAACGCGATCCGATAGTGAAGTAATATTTTATATTTTGAATGAGATAACAAAATCTCAAACATGCCTGGATTGTTGCTTAAGGTGATCAGAAGACTCTGTATTTTGTCAGCTTCTTCATCAAACAGAATCACTTCATCTGCGTATTCCAAGTCAACAATTGAATCGCCTGGTAGAAAATCAATCCCTGAAAAGTCGGACGATGAAAGTGTTATCTCTAAAAGCCCATCTATGACAAAGTTAAATAAAGATGGAAAAAGGAAGACCCCGACGAACACCACTTGAAGTAACGAATGATGACAGTTCACCATTAACTCTGACTCGACCAACAGAGTAGAGCCTGTACAAGGTTAATGTATTTCTCTGGCACACCATTCAGTGACACACTGACACAGAACCTCACGATCAACAGAGTCGAATGCCACCTTAAGCTCAAGGAATCCACTCGTAACTAGGGACCGAAAAGTATGTCTATGTTCCAGAAGATGAATATTTGGTTTATACACCCACATGTAGGTCTGAAACCAGACTAGTTTTCTCAGACAGGCTCTTCATGAGTTCTAGTTAGATGCCGGTAATTCGGTCTGTGCACGACCGATCCTTACGGAATCCGGACTGTTGATCTCGAAGCTGAGCCTCTACTGAATCTTTCATCCGGTTTAGCAACACTGATGAAAACTTTTTCTTATACCGATAGTAGTGTGATACTCTGTAATTCCCACATTTGCTAAGGTCTCCTTCTTTACAGTCTGTCGGCACTTGCTCTTTCTCCGAAATATTCCTAAATAGGATGTGCAGCATCTTTGCAGTTGCTTCGATTTTTGACTTCAGTGCTTAAGCTAGTATATCGTCAGATCTTGCTGCTTTCCCACTCTTAGTTTGTCTGATGACCATTCTGGTTTCTTCAAACGACGATTTTTCTACTTTTACTCTAGTCAACATCGATTCATTCGTTCACATTCATGTATTCTATTGCATCATCGGTGTTTTTCACTGTTATAAGATAAATATTAACAGTTCAAAATAGTCTTTATCAATTTCTGTGTCGGTTACAAAATGTTTGTTAAGTAAAAGCTATTATTTTGTCAATTTAATAGTGATAATTATCTATCGTCATCATCAATTTTAAGTTTTTGTTTTGATGGGTTCAACATTGAACTTTCATTTGTTTAATAACCTTTTCCTTTACTTTATAATTTAAGCAGTTGATTAGTAAGTATCTCTAGCTTTCAAATGGTCTGTATAACTCAAAACATTTAATTTGCGTTTATATTATATTAAGGAATTTTGATACCATTTATTCTATTGTTAGATGGCTGTAAGCAGTTGGTAGGGATCCATAGACCTTAGTTTCATGCTGGTTGCCATTCGTTGACAAGACATGCATATAACTTTGAAAGGATCATTAGGGTTTCAAACCGGGATCATTCAGTTTCACAGTCCTTAGGCGTTACTATTGAGCGATTTCGTCTGCATTTTCACCGATAAACTTCTGTCGGTACTAATGATCAAGCAAACACGACACACTAGTCATATCTTAGTGATCAGTGAATGTGCTTGTTTTATTTACTATTCTAGTATCGATTATATCAGTGATTTCCCCCTCACTTTAGTTCTTTATTAATCTTTTACCACTGAGTTGTGTTTAAATTTCTCTGCTTTTTTAATTTCCAAATACCTTTATTACAGATTTGTAATAATTTAGGACATTGTCATTGTTCACCCGGCTATAAACCACCTTACTGTGAAGAAGACGGAAATGGTGGCAGCGTAGACAGTGGACCACCTCCAATAAGTAGTAAGTTTATCAGTTCAAAAAATTGTTAGTATTAATCTGAAGGAAAAAAACTAATCTGTTTTTCATTTCGTCCAGCGTTAACTGAAAATAGTTCGTGATTTTTAAAAAACACTAACAACGACAAATTTGTGAAAAATGAAATATTTTGTCAGTTGTTTAACTAGACAACATATATTTAAGTGAAGACAAACAACTCATAATTATTAATTAGCCGGTCACTTGTCAACAGCATAAAATTAAAATACATGTCTACATCACCTTGCTTTACCACTGGTGCTCAGTCAGTCAGTCAGGTACAACGTAGAACTTCGTACGTAAGTACATCAGTTCCAGTTGCCATACCACATTAGCACAGAGATGAAGTTGTCGATTCAAATCCCATACTGCTAGAAGTAGTAAGAGTATAAGTATTATGTGAAAGATAAGGGTTTAAAGATGTTATTGAAGGAGTATAATACAGTGAAATAAATTTGGAAAGAGAAAAAGGATACGGACATGAAGAATTCAGAAGATTAGAGTTTGGTAGAACACAAAGAGTGGATGCACCTTCGCCATTGCAAACGATTTTGAGCCATGTCATTCAAGGTCTCTAACCATCGATTGCTATCATCTCGCGAATCCCAACCAGGTAGTCTACATCTACCAACATGGCCCAGTCCACTTGTCAGTGACTTCATGGATTTGTGCCATGTTTTGGTATGGCCGCCCCTAGCTGATGCGACTCCCAAGATAAGTGAAGTGGTCTACACGCTCAACTACTTCACTCCTTATCATTAGTTCAGGTGTCGCTGCAACCCAATCCTGAAGTAACATTTGGCACTTCGAGGGAGAGAATCGCATCCAGAACATGCCTACATTGTTGCTTATAGTGGTCAGAAGACTCTGCATTTTGTCAGAGTCTTCACCGAATAAAACTATGTCGTCGGCGTATTCTAAGTCAACAAGTGGATCTTCCGGTAAAAGTTCAACTCCTGGAGATTGAGATGATGAAAGTGATATCTCTAAAAGCATGTCAATGACAAAGTTAAACAAGAATGGGGAGAGTGGACAGCCCTGACAAACACTACTTTAGTTAACCAATTCTGATGACAGTTCGCCATAGGCTCTAACTCGACCAGTTGTGTTCGAGTAGAGAGCCTTTATGAGGTTAATGTACTTCTTTGGTACTCCTTTCACTGACAAACACTGCCATAGAACCTCACGATCAACGGAGTCAAATGACGCCTTAAGGTAAAGAAATACTACTATTGTGGGACGTCTGAATTTGTGTCTATGTTGTAGGACCTGACGTAGAGTGAATATCTGGTCTATGCAACCACGTCCAGGTCGCAAACCAGCCTGGTTTTCTCTAGTCTGCTCTTCACGAGCTTTGGTTAGGCGACCTAGTATTATTGAAGCTAATATTTTAGACACTATATTAGTCAAACTGATCCCTCTGTGATTGTCACAGAGGACTTTTGTCCTTTCTTATAGACTGACACAATCAGTGATTGGGACCAGTCAGATGGAATTATGTCCAGTTCCCAGATTCTACCTAAGACCTCAGTCAATCTCGTTGCTAGTACTGAACCACCATCCTTAAAAATCTCAGGGGTAAACTTGTCAGAGCCTGCGGCTCTCCCTCGCTTTAGATTTCCTATAGCTTTTTCAACCTCGTAGAGAGTTGGAGGACTTACATCAATTTGCCATTCAGGACGACTGGGGATCGTGGGTAACTGAAGTGTGGCTGAAGGCCAGTTGAACTGATCCCTAAAGTGTTCAGCCCATCGATCCAATCTCCTGGATTGAGAATGAATGATATGCCCGTCTTTGTCTGAGATAGTTTCGCTAATAGTTGGGTTCCTAATGCCGGTTTCTTTAATAAGTCTGAATAGCTGTCTGCTGTTACCTATTGCCGCTGCCTTTTCCATCTCTCTTGCTTTCGCTACCCACCACTGTTCACGATCATTGCGCAGGCTTCTTATTAGCCTTCGCTTAAGCTGACTCCGCTCTTCGTTATGTTCGGAGCCAGGTGGGATGTGTTTTCGAGCATCTATCAGTGCGGTAGATGCTGCCGAGATCCATTGCTTCTCCCTGACCTTATGGCTTACCTTACCAGCGGATATCACTGCTGTTTCCACAGCTTTTCGGATGTCATTCTACGCTGCTTCGGGGTGGACACAACTTACATATCTGTCTAACTGTTGTTCCTGAGATATATTCTTAGCTTGCTTATCATTAAGTAGAACCCTTAGAGGCTTCCCTTCAGTGTCTTTCCTACGTCCAGTAAGACGCAGACATACATGCTCGCACCAGAGCGTGACCTGAATCTAAACATGTGCTCCAGAATGAGAGACAGTCTTCTATCGAGCCCCTCCATCGGTGGCTGATAGCGATGTGATCTAATTGGGTCCAACGTTGGGACGAATTCGGGGGGTCGCCATGTCAAAAGATGTTTTCCTTTATGCTTAAAGTTAGTATTTGCAAGAAATAGACGGTTATCTGAGCACTGCTGCAACAGACGGTCTCCATTATCTGTTCTTTCCGCCATGACACCATAAGATCCACCCAGGTGTCATTCCCTTTCACTTAGTTTACCTACTTGAGCATTAAAGTCACCAGCCACTATTACTACATCAGAACGCCTAGCTTTTTTTAATCGTTGGGATATCCCGGAAATATATTTATCATTCATCTGACTGTATAGATTTAGTATAAATTGTCCATGTTCTCTATGCTTTAAGTAGGATGCAGTAAACTGTAATACGTTTGAATAATGATCACTTTGTGGTTTCAAACAATTATGCATCAGAATGCTGAGAAAGTAACGCGCCGGAAACTCAGTTTTCTCAGTAGTTTAGTCTTTGTGTGCATTTGCACAAATTATTGATTATATACTGTCTAACTACTTGCGTTCATTTAAGTAGCTAAAAAGGATATTGAAAAAATGTGCTGTTCAGTTGACGGTTTGTGGTTATATATATTAGACACTGTTTAATAAAGTACTCAATCTCTTTAAAGAAATTAAAAGCTTTTAATCTCTCTCTATTCAGTTGTTCTTGAGAATCGAAGTAGTATCGTTAGACTGTGATAATAGTGTAGACCTAATCTTGACAAATTTGATTTTCTTGGACAATAAAAATACTTGATATAAATTAAAGGAACTAAACAGCACAATTCTCCAACATTATTTTAGCGACTTTTTCATAATACACTTATATTAATTGTTGATTAGTGTGAAAATTGAGCACTTAACGATTTTATGAAATCACTTATATATATCCACCATCTAAACTCATCTTACATATTTCTTTTTTTTACTATCAAGGGATCAGGGATAATACATTACTTGTTGTAATATGCATCCTTTTCTTTGTGATTTTACCTCTTATTGGATTTGGAGTATATTATCTATTTATACGTTCTGGTAGATGTTTATTGAGTACATCAAAGGAGTTTATTTATACAAGTAGTGGTTTACGTAAACCATTTGATAAAAATTGTACAGAATGCTTTTGCCAACTATTCAGGTAATTTTTCTGTTTATTTATCCAGTAGTGTTATTTCTCTGACTAATAATTAGTGGACTCAATTAGAAAGTCAATCAGTTATAATCAACATAGAGCCTGACACAAATGTGTTAACCTAAGTTGTTCCCATACCATATCAACGCGGCTGGGTAAAATTGACAGAAAGAATGGAACAAAATCTAAATAATAGTTATATCAATGATAATGAGAAAGACTAAGCATCAGAAAATACTGTTCAAAAGGAAGAGATAAATTCTAGGAGTGAAAAATTTGAGATGATAGTGATAGTCAGGAATGAAAGTAAGATAAATTCAATCAGGTAGTCTACACCTATATGTACAGCTCAGTTCAATGTTCAAAGACTTCATAGATCTATCTCGTGTCTTAGTTTTTCTACCTATAGTTTTATTACAAACCCATTCCAAGGCTAGCCAACTTGACGCTTATAGCTAGGTCTTGACTGATGATGTGTAACACATGTGCCAGTTACCTTTTTCGATGAAAACTATCGGCCTCATCAACTAATTCACCTCATTTGAAAGCCTTCATATAACAACTAAAAAGTAATTCCTGTAAAATTTGGGACTGATACTACATAGATAACTATTGGAAATCACAGTTTGTCGGACAAATTTTCGTCAGGATTCCCAGAAAGTACGCACTGATCAACCCATCAAGAGTGGTTTTCATGACCTTTCATATCTCACACATCCCACACTACCATGGAATACAGAGGTATAACACATTTCCAACATCAGTGAATCTACTTTAGTGCATAAACTTTATTCGTGCATACTTGAATATTATATTCTACTGTTGTTGTTTTAAATAACTACTTTAGTATTCCTTTTTGTATATTTGAAAAAAATATTTTCCAGTTCCCTAGCATCTTTCACAGAACTATTCACAAGATCTATTCGTACAACAGTAATCGATGGTAGTAGTACAGTCATTGTATCAAGTAATCATCATAACAAATAATTGTTTAGTAGGGTTAATTTTCATTTATTCACTTAAACAATGATTGTATTTTAGTGGATACACAAGAATAACTTATTCTATAAACATTTTTCTTTCTGTTCATCATTCATGATTTGCATGCTGAAATAATTCACCGATGAATTTATTTTCTCCATTCATTCATTGATGATTGATTATATATGTATAAAATTCCTTCTCACTCCCTTTTTAGAAATCCAATTCGAAAAATTACTCTTTCATAACCTTTTTTCGCTTGACAAAATTTTTGTATCTACACAATTTTACGATAGATTTATTCAGTAAATCGTAATAACTTAGGACCTGGAACAAATGTAAGTAAGCTCAAGTTGCCATACCATATTAACACAGCAAGGTGAATAGCAAAAAGGATCGAAATAATGTACCAATAATAATGAAAATGACTGAAAATCGGTTTTGGGAAGGTGTGTATGAAGGAATATTAAGACTTAAAATCTAGAGAAAGATAAAGAATGCTTGAAGTTGTGTCGTTGTGATTGCCTCTAATATGGTCAAAAGTACGAATATTGGGTAGGGTTTGAATACTTAGAAGCTATACGTTGATCATTTAGCCATCGTTTAGGTACTTCCTTATTTCTCATTAGCATACAATAAACATAAGGAAACAGTGTTGATCGTATCAGTTTTTTCAGGGTTCCGGTTTGAAAAGAAACCTATTTTTCCTTTGTTACATTTAAAAATATAAGAAACTTTTAAAAAATTTAATTTCATCTCGCCATTTTAACTATAAAACAGTGATAAATATATTAATTATCAGATATAAAACACATTTTATAATTAGATAACATATAACTTCCGACCAATAGATAAATAAATAGTTGAAAGCGTGAGTCAATTGAAGCTAGACCACCATGGAAAACCTGGACGGCCGTTTCGTCCTATTATGAGATGCGCATCTACGATCCCGCACTGCTGAGGAGTCCCATAATAGGACGAAACGGCCGTCCAGGTTTTCCATGGCGGTCTAGCTTCAATTGACTTACGCTTTCAACTATGAAAATACTAAATCTCCACAAAACCCCTTCTGATAATTAAGATGAATAAATCGTTTTTTTATTGTTGCCTAATTGCAACTATTGTTTTCTAATCCTTATTTAAAACATCCTTCAACATTAATACTGAATTATTATTTGAAAATCTGACCCAATCTGTGATCTTTAATTTTAAAATATCACGGTTTATTATCCGACTTTCTCGTGTGATTCGGCGTAAACATTTATGTTGCCATCATACTGCAATTTCGAGTTATTGGTTCAATTTTATAATTTCTAAAACAATATTATTCAACTGTGATTGCATGGGGGAACGTTAGGTTGGATGTTTTTTTGAAAATTTATGAGATTGATAATTATTATCATTCCTTTTTTTTCTCTACTTAGACATGACAAAGTCAAAAATTCAAAACAAAGTGATAGACTCGAAAAACCGTACCCCTTACTTGCATTCGCAGCCGCCGATTCAAAAGTCTCACAGAATAAAGAATTCATCAACGGTCAAACCAATGGTTACTGCAATATCACATCCAACGGTAAACTATCAAACGGTTCTTACAGACCAGTTAAACCAAAAACAGTCAGCTTTGAACCAGTGCCCTCGAAGAGAACAACTTCCAACTTCAGTGGAGTCAAAACAACTTGCTCACAAAACACCTTGTTCACTAGTTCATCAACAGAAAATAGCACGAAGTCAGAAAACAAATGTCAGCGAACAGGTTCGAAAAGAGAAATTCCAACTTTAATTTCTAGAAATGGTACAGTTGTGAAGTATATAATAAGATAAATAATAAGAGAATCCCATATTGTTTAAATTATTATATCCAAAAGAGTAACCTTTATCACGTACTATTCCATGGTCAATCTCTGATTACATATAATATCCCCTCAATAAAACAACCACATTAACCCTGCTTTGATTTACTTCGCAGTGTGCAACTCTCAGACTGAAGTAATCGCACTCAATAAACACATAAGTAATTACAATAGGACGGAAAAAGTTGTATTAATTATGAGACACTTTCAAAAATGTCACTTTGATTTCAAATGAAAACAAGTTACCATAGTAAACAACACTTCCAAATAATTAAAAAAGTGCATCTTTAAACTATGCTGAAGATAAGAAACATTTTCCTTTCGAGGAAATAATTTATAATACAGTTTTACTGGTTATTTACTTATGTCACAACAAACTCAATTGCTCTTAAGCATTTATGCTTCAACGCTATGTACGTTCTTTTTTGAACTAGTGAATGTCTCGAATCTGAGTTATCAGTTTACACCTGAATAGCCTTTATCCTAGGTAATGAGAATTTTCCCCTGGTTTATCAACGAACTTCACTTCATAATGTAAACTAATGTAAACTTATATTTTAAAAACGAAAATTGGCACAAAGAGAAACCACAATACAAATCTTTGAATGTGTGTGGGCTGGAACACTGCCAGGGTCCTCAAAACGAAGCAGTTCTTTTCCTTAGGGGCACTCCCGGAGCCTGATCTAGAGGCCTAATCCATAAAGCAGTGTAGCAACATTGGGGACGCACTCCCATGGTGACCAACAATAGATTCATGCACCTTTTGTTCCCTCAGGATTTCCCTGCCAGTGACTTTATACGCGCGACCATATGAGTGTTTTAAGAAGGAGAGCGTAATTTTCCTACCCTCGGCCCAAAATGGATCATGAACTCAAGACATGCTTGATCTTTTTTCACCTAAAACATTACTAGACAAAACGAATGTTAATATTCTTCTGTGTGTAATTTAGTTTTCTAATTAGTTTTTGACAGTAGTATTCTAATACTTTTATTTAGATAAAAAGGGCATCATCAAAGAAGATAGTAAAGTAACGATTCCAACTAGTCACCTGAAGTATGATGAATTCGGTAGTCAATGTCTCTCCACTGCTTTTGAACATCACCAACAACATTTACAATCGAACAATACATCCATAAAACCAACTACATTCATTTCAGAACCACGTCTTGAAACAATGACTTATGAAGGACCGATGTGTTCTTTAAATGATCCAGTTATGATTAACACATTACAACGTAAATCTAAAAACACACTTGATAATCAATCAAAATCTGCTATACTTAATAACTCTCAGTCATCTATTAATAAACAAAGTTGTCAACAAAAAACAATCACTAATCAACACAATACAACACAACCACTAACAACAACAATTGTAACAGGTGGACGTAAACCACTTTCATCAAAAGATATATCTGAGCCATTATTACAAGCAACTACATATAACGAAAGTTTATCAGATTTAAAAACAGCTAGACTGAGATTATCACAGAAAGAATTTGATCTTTGAATATTATTTTGTTAGTAGTCTATCCGTTGGTAGGTTTCTCACATTTATTGTTTATAATTCTGATATATTTCCATGAAATATTGTTCTCTTGCAATTCATTCCAATAAAATATGAATATATTCATAATAAGGGAAATATCCACTATAAGAATTAAACATTCACATGGTAATAAATACACCAATATAGCTATTATTTTCAATGAATGTGATAATCTAGTCGTGTTACTTTTTTCGTGGTTTTGTTGTATCTTTTTTTTCCTTTATTCAATTTGGATTGTATTTATTTAAATAGTAATAAGTCATTTATTAATATGAATACATGAACTCGCTTGAACCTCTCGACAAGTTGACGTATAGTTGAATATTCCAGGCTGAATTCAACTCAGGCTGATAGAGATTATTATGTACGTGATTTTGTTTTTATGAAAAATGATTTCTTCATTATTGTGTATTTGTTGATGTGATGAATTTCGCTTTCTTATTCCTATTCCTATATAACACAATTCGATTGTATACAACAAATTGTTCTACTTCTCTTCCAATCAACATTCATTTTAATAGTACTATTGAAAAAATTCATCCTTACAAGTGTTGAGCTATCATATACATAATAGCAGTTGTATCGTTCTGGTGTGAAATAACCTTTATGTTCTTTTTAAAATCCACTTTACTGATAGAACTAGTGGATGCAACAATCAATTGGTTATGAGTGATATAGAAATTGATATGGTTGCTTATGTATGTCATAATTGTTTTTATCTAAGGACTTTCCGCTTTTATAGATGACTACTATTGAATTCTTATTTAATTTTAATGTCAAATTTAATGATCTGTGACATGCTACATACAAAAATTATTAAAAATTTCGATAAAAATTTTTGCTTTCCCACTTTTCAAATATTCCCTAATCGCCTTTTTTGTTACAAAAATATTTATTATCATGTATTTAATAAAAGTAATTACAAGCAATCCAATGAGTTATTACATGTGTATTGAATGAAATGGTAGAAGTTATCAGTCAACAATCATTATATAACATATAACTAGTGATGTAATCAAGTTCAACTACCACATTTGTTTATTTATTCTTCTCAGTTATGATGATGTATATTTCATGCTCAGGTCTCGTTTAGTAATCTTATATTTGTGTGTAAGCAGAATTATTTTACCTCCTTAGCTGCCTTTAAAACGCCGGACTAACGATATATATTAGGATAAAGGTTTGTGGAGATCGTAGTCATTTAATAGTTGAATTCCTGAGTCCATTAAAGCTAGACCACCATGGAAAACCTGGAAGCACTGGATTGCCGTTTCGTTCTAGTATGGGATAAAGCGTATCCACGATCCTGAGAGTGGGACTAGGACCTTCGGTCTTGCGCGCCAACGCTTAACCTTTAGACAACTGCGCCGACATCCAACAGTGCTAATGTCTAACTTCAACTAATCGTGGATGTGTACTGCTGAGGAGTCCCACATTAAGACGAAACGGTCGTCCAGTGCTTCCAGGGTTTCATTAGTGGTCTAGCTTAAATCGACTCATGAATATATATATATAGTATATAACCGTGTTTTTATTTTTTTCTTCACTAAATTAAATACATAGACCTTCGAGAGTAGAAATATAAAATATTTTATGCCTTTTTCTGAAATAAATGTCTTTGTTGTCAGCAGTATGTGATTAGGGAAGCAAAAATGAAATATTGTCTATTTTTAGCTATGTGTATTTTTTTGAAACAAAACTAATTACTTTGGCAAGTGTTTGTTACATTTATTGTTTTGAATAAGATCACGAATACCACCAGTCTAAAAATATGAGGAAAAAAAATACAATGAGGATTTTGTATTAAAGTGTATTCATTGAAAAATATTTACAGTACGTAAATTATTCAGAAATGCCATATTTTTATTTATTGTTGAATAATAACTATTTGACATTTTAGTTAATAACAAGAGGTAAAGAACATTTCTAATTATTATGTAATTGTTGTTTGATATCAAAGCGTCGATGTTAAATTCAATTCGTAAGGATATGTATGTTCATGTCGTCAGATCACGTTGTCATCTATGCAAAACTTACTCTGTAAATTATCCAGTGTATATATTTTTTTCTATACTAAGAACAGATACATAGAATAAATTGAGTTTTTCACACTTCAATTTTTAGTTTAGTCTCTTAATATTCGCATAATGTGATTTTCTCATGTATAGTACGCGATTTAGTTTTAATTTATTACACTTCTTAAAATAGTAGTGAAACAGTAGCTTTAGTCCGATCATAGCATTCATCTTTTAACTGCTTTTTAGATTTGAATCCCACAACACACGCTATTATTAGCTCTCACAAAACGTGTAACTCAAAGCGAAATATTCATACGTATAAATCATGAGTTACATCAAAAAGAGGAATAATAATTCTTAATGTGAACAACAAGACAAAGTGAGATTCGACAATAGCAAGAAACAGTAATACCATACATATTTGATGATAGTGAATAAAGTTTTTATGCCAGCGGATGACATATTTTCGACTGAATATTAACAAACGCAAAGCTCAAGGTTAATACTTCTGTTTGCTGCTTATATATATATATATATATATATATATATATATATATATAATCTATTTTTTCTTAATACATAGAACAGGAAATAGTGGCGAAATAAAGAAATTTACTTTGGTTCTAAGTATTTATAAGTTAAGAGAATAACTGTAGCATATTTTTATACAGGTGTTTCTTTGTTATTAAATAGAAAGCTCCGCTACACGTACAAAATCATGTCAATAACACTACAAGCATTAATAATCCAAGAAAATATTGTGTCAACTTACTGTAATTTGATAATATCCAACACCATATGGTCTTCCAGGATGTTTAAGCAGTCGTACTTGACGAATACCTGCTGTTAAACGTGTAAGGAAAACTCGGAGAGAACAAATATGCCCCCAACTATCTCCAAGCGCAGGTACTAGACATGAATTTTGGTCACTTCTGCATTGTTCTTTTCCAACTTTATCTCCTTCTATAACACAATCAACTTGTTCTGAATTCAAATTTTTGGCATCGAATTTAGTTGTAATTTGATTTGTAAGAATAACCTGAAAATCATAAACTGAATGTAATCAGAGTGAATTAAATAAACTAAATACTATTTTTGTAAGTCATTTTTATTTGAGAAACAAAAATACACCAGTAAAGCATTGTATCACCAAATATTTGATATGGATGTTCACCTAAACCCAACAGTCAAATATGATTTTTGCATATGAATCCATCCACATCAACATGGATGAAACTTACTTTAATGCAAAATAAATCAAGTGAGTTGAACGGTTCTATATTCCAGAGAATAATTGTCAAATAGTTATCTTCTGTGTGTAAAATAAAAGATGTCTAACATATTGGGAGAAATTTAAAAGCAAAAAGATGTCCGACGGTTCGTTTTAGTTACGAAACTGGACAAGCCAACTAAATATCGACTCGATATGGCGAGTAAGACTTTAGCCTGGTAATCGGATATTTTAATTCTATTCGTTGCTAAACGACCTAAAGTAAATCCATACTGTTATATCCCGATGAGAATAAAGAATCGTAAACTGTTGGAATCTATTTCTGGACTAATACAATACGTATATTTTTATTGTATGGTTGTTAAGTAACTAAACTATACATAATCATGTTTCTCTTATTATAAGCTTTATTTTGACCAATAGACTGTTACTGTACGATTTACCATTCCTGAGTTATGTTCAGTCTATCAGTTACCGTCTCCCACATTTGGCTGAATCTTGTACAAATGTTATTTTTTATTTTATGGTACGATGTGATCTGTTTGGTTGGTATATAAATCCAGTAAATAATTCATATCGCGCAGGCTGTTACTGATGTTCTGGACTTAATAGATAGGGCTAGGCGGGAAGCAGGGTCGATGGAGACTCTAGATTGCTCTTATGGGTTTTACGCGTCATTGGTCCGATGGATAGTTCACTGTATTCCAATTGGCGGCATACTCACGTCATATATTGATTGGGGCGCAAACCTATAAGATATAACACATGCATTACAATTGTTTACCTTTGAAGTGATAATTACATATAAATGCTGTTCGTATTCAATATTTTGTATTTGTCATTTTTCCATTTCATTGGGAAACTACTTCCTTCCCTAGTCAGTTCTTTTTTTGTTTTCAAATCCGTTCATTGGGGGAATGCTATGGATCGATAGTGCTATTTTTTGAGTAACCGCTACCAGGCTAAACTATGCACATTAATTCAGACGATCAGTTCTACTCAAGGTCGATTACAGTCGGAAAACTGTCTTGATTTCTCCATATGTTTGTTTATGAATACACATAAACAATTAGTGGTTCTACAGTAATTAGATTACGTTAAAACGTACACTGAAGGTGACTAAATCAGCAACAACATCCAACTCTTGGTATAGATAAGCTCAAAACTGGCTAGTTCAAAATAACCGGACAGAAAAAATGGTATCAGTCAATAAGGGAAGTTACTTTACGACTAAACAAAGAAATGCAAAGATGAAAATTGTTTGATAAAAACGTAGTTACTTATGAGTAGTACAATTATGACACAAATCACGCGTATCAGTAATTTATGTAATTTCTCTCCTCTCTAGCATAGCAAGTAGTAATGAGAAATACCCTTGCGTAATTCAAACAAATAAGTGTATGGCAGTGAAGAAGCATTTTAAAGAGTGGTAATCATGAACTTATTTTAATCAAACCTCAATTTAACAAAAAAAGGTTATGAACAATGGATTAACATCTTATTGTGAGAATTATTGGTAAGAGTAAGTGAAGCAGTATCTGAGTGTATGTAACTCACTGACTGAAAGTTGAGTATTTCACTCTTCCTAAATAGATTGATACTTGAAAAGATAATCAAATATTCAAGATTAAGAAAGTACATAGAATAATTTTCATCAAGTCCAATCCAATATACCATAGTGCATATTTATTTAATAGGATGAGACTAGAATAACGAATTCGCCAAGGATATACCATAAACACTGAGATGACTCACCGCAGCCTTCTGACGTCCAGCAACACAGAGTAACATTTGTGTTACACTTGCCAATAATCTATTACGTTGAGGAATATCGTCAAAATCGTAACGAAATGGGAGAGCGATACTGTCGACCACAATCAGTCGAATCTGAATTAAGATCAATAAACATTTGTGGCTGAAATCAGTTATATCAGAGTTGATGAATTTCCTTAAAAAAATAAATGACCACTTCACCGAATAAATTATCCTCGCTTGAAATTTCAAATGATGTACCCCCTAATTTAAATGCGAATAACTTCAAGGTAGCAGCAACGGTCGGGACGAATAACTTCAATATCTTAAATCTCACTGAACTAAAAAAAATATTAGAATAATACTTGGTATGTAACTGGGAAGAATTATTCACTTTACGTAGAAGTAGTAGTACGGATCAAAATTTCAAATAGACATACTTTAAACAAAGCATTTGATAGTTTAAGTTATTTTTTATATAAGCACAGTTTGCTACATATACTATTAAGAAAATATTAGAAAACCAACTATAACCGGTTGTTATTTCGCACTGAATTAAATATTGACATTTGAGATTCCATTGGTATATTCCAATCCAAAAGCAGTGTACAATACCATAACTTCTAAGATAAATCACTTTTATCCATAGATAATAGAATAAATTCAAAACATTTTAGATCATATACAGGATAATAATAATTTACCAGAGGATGTTGGTCACAAAATTGTTCTAGATGTCGACAAACAGCTAATAACTTCAAATGATCAGTTATTCGTATGTAGTGAATTCCAGACATTAGACTCTCAACTGTTGGACAATATTTTTTAATGAAAGATTCATCTGTTCTTTCCGGATCTGTTAACAAATAAACATAATAATAATAGTTATCAAATATTTGAGAAGTTTACATAAGTTAAGAGAATTGAGTCATTGAAAAACACTTGAATGAAAAGATAATTTTAACATACACAAAATAACAAATAGCTTAGCGCAAGTTGTGTAAAATAACAAAAAACATTACCGACTGTTTACTGTTAGTTATAACTGTCAATTCTATTGATTTTGTAATTCCGATAGATTATTTTCTGAATAACATCCAACTACGTACTACAACCGTCTCTTTCGAAATACAACCTAACTGTGAACTATACATGCTGAGAAGTATCCAGTAAAACAAACCGTCGAAAAGATTAACCGATCACGAAAAATGCAAAGATGGATATAAAAAGGTTTCGTAGAAATTGGT